ACTACACCACCACGCGCATGCCTCGCGGCGGATATGCGCAGCAGCAAGAAGGTTTCGGTCATCCCTTGAGGGTGAGTCTAGCCCTGCTCGCCAGAAAGACCCCCTCCTTCACTACAACCCATGTCTAAGCAAAAGCTGGTTGATCAGCAAGAAACCCGGCTACTTGTTGTCAGTTGTATGGATGCGTCCCTTCTGGCGCCACCTGCGGCGCTGGGGAATCCGAGACCCTCGGCCTTGGTTTCCGTCTCCCCTCCGACGGCAATCTCTCTCTCTCTCGTCTGAGACCTTCTCCTTGCCAATCTCAACGGAGAAAACTGCCAGCCCTCAGTAGCGGGTAGAGTCTACTTTGACCTGTGTCTCTTTGGGAGGCCTGCGTCCTCACGACGATCGAAATGGACCTTTTCTGCCGTCTCGGGGCAATTCCAATAAACAAATGAAAGACCCAGGAAACCAAATAGTGATCTTACTCGCACACTGCTGTGTATTTCGTCTAGACCACGCGAATGCCCGAACGTGAGAAGAGCACAGCGGAGGGAACCTCAGCTGGTGTGCATATTGTGCGTCTTCTTAGAGGGTAAGTCAACATCAATCAATGACAGATATTCTGAAGCCCTCCACTCCCTCTGCGCGCTATGCGAGGTAACAACTGAGACTAGGAGTCACCATCACGGGCCGGTGAGAATGAGGTACACCTTGGTTCAATCTTGGTGCGTCACAACGCAAGCTATTAGTCTAATAATAATAGACTAATGGTCAAACTCAGAACTCATCAAAAAATGTTGTGAGCACACTTACTTGTAGACTAGTAGACTATTAATTAGTAAAAAAAATCTCCGATACGTGCGACACCCGACAATTCACGGCTGTATGCATACTATAGATGACACGCACCACCTGGAACATCCGTACGTTTCTTGATCCAAAGAATGAATACCGGGAGGGACCGATGACAGCTGGGTATATCTCCTGAAAACCGATTGGATGATGCAAAGTGCGTTCATTCTGCATGTTGTACGTTCCCCTCCTGTCCAGTTGGAGATCTCGGAGATCTGGGAGATCTAACGGGGTCGGCGGGGCCAGCGGCCGGCGGGTGGTGGGCGGTGGGGAAATTGAAATGATTCTTGACAGTTTTCCCGTCCCGCCGCGCCGTCTTCAGTTTCTTTGTGCACCTCACCAGACCCGCTCACACGCACCACTGCCGTCTCATACACACACCGTTCTCCGCTCTAAGCCACAACCTCGTGAGTACTCTCTGCTACCCCTTCCCTCTGCGGCAGTCACACACGTTCAAGAGAAGGTGTGCTCGTAATTCAACTTGGTGCCGACAAGCCATTCAAGATGGCGCCCAACGCCGCCACAACTACAGCTGTAGCCGGAGATGCCCAAACTGGGAACGCAGGTACGGAGGAAGCAAAAAGTACTATGGACGTAGTGGCCATGTTGTACGACAGCAGCTTCATCCTGCTGTGCGCGATTCGTGTTGAACCATGTCTAAGGTACAACTCCAAATGTTGTGATATGATGTTGTGATAGATGATGTTATATAACCCAGGATGCCGCCAGACGTGCAACACACGCAAATTCTCATCTAGCGGCTTGCGGCTTTGGACGGGAGAAAACAGGATCAGTTTTTTCGAGTCAACACCAACGGCACCGAACGAAAAAGCCGGTTGCACTGCTCATGTGTGGCTTGTGCATAGCACTGCTGTGCCGTCTCCAGATTCTCGAGCTCCCTGAGACACGACTCGGTGCGACGTCCCCCTTCGCCACGTTTGCCCCGGGCCGTTCTCCTGAAAAATGTTCTGCAGACGGTTCCAAGGGTTCCGCCTGGTCGAGACTTCACGGCAGGGTCAATGAAGTGGCCGACAACTTCTTCTATCGCCTGGGGTACTGGGTGGCCACGCACCCCAAGCGGACCCTTCTCATCAGCCTTGTCTTTGTGATCGCCTGCTGCTTCGGGTTCGCCAACTTCAGGATCGAGGCCGATGGTGAGGAGAGCGAGAAAAAACATGACACGCAAATATCCTTGGTGCCGGGGGGTAGCAAGCACGCACCCTCTTCCCTCTAGATTATTACTTGACGGTCCGAACGGCGGCGGGGTATTGTTGGCGTGCTTTTTGCTAACTCGGTATTCTCATGCCGTACTGACGAACAATTTGTGTCACGTGCGGCATCCGATACATTGTGTTCGTGGTTCGTCTGTCGTGGTTGCTCGCAGACTCACGCGACGCCACCGTTAGAATTTTCGTAACGGAAAAAGGAAAAATAAGAATGGCTTCTGGCGCGTGTGATGGGAGGTAAACCGTACGTTGTAGACATGTGTAGACATGTGATCGTGCTTGAACATGATTAGTCGGCATTAGCAGATGCCATGTATAACGTGACGGGCTTAATGCCGAGGAATGCACCCGTGTTGCGCAATGAGCATGTGTTTTTATTATTAGCATCGACGGCGCTAACCGGCTGACCAATTAAAAGACGTCAGTGCCAGCGGGTAAAAATCAAGGTCCCTGGAAGGGGGCCAAAATTCGAAAAATGCGCAATGCGCTTGATGCGAATGCCAATGCGACTCTCTCTACATGTTCTTTCACGAAGACACACATCTCAGCTACACAAATGCCCTCGCTTGAACCTAGGAAGCCACTGATGCAAAGAGCGGAGGACAGCAAAAGGGTTATTTCAAGCCCAGTCGAAGCCAGGATATCGTGGNGCACGTCCAGGAATCCAATATCCGCAGCCGCCGCAGTAGTACTGCTGTACTGTGTAGTAGTAGCAGGAAATCCAGGTTGTACCCATCCGTTGTCCAAACAAAGATTTGTGATTCCGTGAGAGAAGGAGATACCACCGCCGTCGAAGGGTCGAAGGAACTGTCTGCCAGATGTAGGCTGTGAGATAGATGGAGCCACCTATGTGTTCTTAGCCTGGCCGCCCGTGTGTGTGCGGGTAGGCGCGCGACCGGGTTAATCGTGGGCGCTTGGGATCTGTGTACGGGTTGCGTTGGAAGGCGCGGGAGGGCAATAATCAAGAGGAGGGAACAAAGGAGAGCAATAACAACCTTCATCTGGGTCGGACAAGAGAGTTCACACACCATAAAGGTTCATTGCTCTGAAGGAGAGGACCTCCTCCCACGCGGCGAGACCCTCACAAACACAGGCGATCGCTGAAAACACTGATTTCACGAAAAATCGCCAAAAATATATCGAATAAAGAATGGCCAAAAAAATTGAAAAATAATTCTTTGGCGGTGGAGGTCGCCTTTTCTCGCCGACTATACTCACGGTGCCCTCCTGCGAGACCTCCGGGAGACTGCACAACCACACACCCAGTCGCTCCGGTGTTCAGGAGGGTAACCTCGCAGCCTGCTAAGGGCCAGGTCATGGGTTCGAGTCCCGGCAGAGTGAGTTTTTTCTTGCTAATTATATCCTGGTCTCCGTTGGAAGCGACGCGCTGCAAAGCGCGTTGTTAGTAAAATTGATCGACTTCATTAGTCGCGAGGGAAGGGATTGCTGTACCCTTCTCGCGATAAAAATATCTCAGGCAGGAACCGCTGGAGGGGGTCCAATCCCCCCTCCCTGTGTGACCCTGGTTGGGTCGTCTAGCTGGTAGAAGTGGAGGATTGGGGCCAGAGGGGCCGACGACAGAGTCCCATGATGGGAGAAAAACAAAAAACAACAAAAAAAACAACACCGAGAAACATGTGGAATCGCCGAACGTCGCTCAAAAGTTTTTTTCACCAATAGACTAAATTCCACGGCATATATTTCCGTGAAACACCGAAAAAAACAAAAAAAAGACTTCAACGAGGGAAGAGCCTAGAACTAAATACAACGTACGCGACGAAAAAAAAAGCGAGGCGGAATCAAAACCCGAGGTGACAAATAACCTGGAAATTCCCCGACACAGCAGCATCACGTTGGCTACGACATCGTTTAGCCTCTTGCGGTAAGTGCACGTATAACGTGTTCATGGTTGATTGAGGGGATACACCGGTTGCCGATTTCGAAATGAAAATCGATATCAAACAAGGCAGTTCTAGAAATATTATTATAGTACATCACTTGCACATGAGCGTCACGGTGTCAAGAGTACAGCAGTGGAGCCCATGATGGAAGCTCCCGCGGTACAGTGAGTATCGCCCAACCTATCCGAAGGCATCTCCTTACAACCCTGTGCGAAGTGAACGATACCTGGGCGACAATCAATCGTTGCAAATCCCTTGGAACCCGATTTTGTTTCAGCGCCCCCTGTGCCAAGATCCCGGCCTTCGCGGTGCAGCCTATCCGTGCCAAGACGCGCATCATTACGGTACTCGGCGATTACTACCAGGCAGAACCCACACAGATACACGTCTTGCGATACATTTCAGGACTTTCATTTTCCACTACCCCTACCCAGCCGAAATGATAGCACTACTGCTGTGCTGTTCTACAGTATTTCTCCTCTGTTTTCGTATCTATCGCCTACGGTCGTGTTTACGCGACTGCTGTCCATTCTCGCTGACTCTCGACGTTCGTCACGTGCACAATGCCGACACCGAATACGCCAACAACAACGCTGACGACGACGACTACAGGGGAGGACCTCTGGGTGCCAGCAGACTCCTTGGCCAAGGATCAGCAGGACATCATCGTTCAGGATTTCGATGACGGTGAGATGAGCCCAATCGGCAGTCAAGCAACCTGTCTGACCGGCCCTTGTCCCCTACACAAGTCAACGCCGGCAATGAGCAACACTTGCTCCACTTGAGTACCTCGTTTGACCCACGCATTAGTAAAGGCCAAGAGCATCTCACGCTTTTGTGTGTCGCCTCATGTGCTTTGGTGTTCCTAGTCTGGCGTCTGGTGGTTGGCGGTAGTCAGCTGTACGGCAAGTCTGTGCTTCCGACTTGTGCCCCTCCCATCGTCTTGACTGCTGTCTATCACCGCACCTGGGCTCGCGTGCTAACCTGCCCAATACCTTCTCTGAATGCAATGCGTCTTGCCTTTCAGACGGTGAGTACGCCGCCTTACTGGTGGAGAGCCCGTCTGGCAACGTGCTAACAAAGGAATCGGTCGATGCGATCTGGGAGCTGGATGCCATTGTCATGGCCGTCGAGGTAGAGACAGCCCTGGAAATTGTTGATGTTGGTGTTATTGCCGTCGCGTACCGTTGCTGTTGCTGTTGCTGTTGTCGTCGCGGTTGCCGTCGTCAGTGCAATGGTGTTTTCTGTCTTGAATGCTGTTTCGAATTGGTCGTAATGTGCCATATACATGCATGTACACACCACGTGTTTGTTCACATGGCATCAAACACTCTGGCTTTGCTTGCCTCATGTTCCCCCTCTCGTGTTTTGTGTGTTTCAAGGCTGATGGCACCACATACGTCGACGTGTGCCCAAAAGAACTGGACGGTGTGACGTGCGAACCGCCGTTCCGTGGGATCACTCGCTTCTGGGGAGATTTCGCAACCTACGAGGTACCTACATCGTAGACCCATTTCTTGATCGGGCATCACGCGGATTTCTGCCACCCTCTACTGTGCATGTGATGCCCGCATCATTGTGTCTCCAAAGACTTAGGCACGTTGTTTTCGATCTCCATGCGTGCCCTTGAAAGTGTAGAAAATAAAATTGCAGCTCTGACAATGGTATGACGAGCATTACGGAGTGTTCGTGCCTTAGCATACCGCCTTCTTGTTGGGGCCACGTGGTTGCTGCGAAGGTAGGCTGTACCCATCTCTCTCGTCGTTCTTCCGCCGCACGGAAACAGGCCATTGCACCAGAAGCGCATTTTCACCAGTGCTATCTGCCGCTCCACTTGATGCGCTCGATGCTGCTCCTTTCAGCGCACACACATAAGGAATCTGCAGCCCCCTCGCACTTTCCACCCCATTCCTTCCACACCAACACGCTACTGTCTGCGTGCCCATCTTCCACAACCCATTCATAAGGCCTCCGTAACAAGCGATGCGGATATTCTTGCGGCCGTGAATGTGGCCACTTTCCCGGACGGATCGACGGTTAACCAGCTGGCCCTCTTCGGCAACGGGATCACGTACGACGCTGACGGCAACATCTCTGGAGCAAGTGCGACGATGCAGGTGACCGACCGCGTCTTGTCGTCATGATGATGCTTACTGACAAGTGTTGGATCAGGTTGGTTGGAATTGAAACAAGCAAATGTTGTTCAGGTTGGACAAATGTAGAGCGGGAAAGACACCCCCGAAAACGATATCCCGTTGTTGATCAAGTATCGTGCAGCAAGGATAGTCACCCTTTGTACGAAGTGGAACGTGTGTTTGGTCTCAAGACTGTATTAGGTCACGTTGGATGTGCAGGGTGGAACGGGTATTCCCTGTTAAGAACTTAAACCTATGGTTGATCAAGACAGACGAGGACGACGAGGACGACGATTTGAGCATCTAATGATGTTGCTACAACCACTTGTGTTTTGTATCAGCGAGGTCGTCTGGTCCGGCGTCGTCGTCGACTGATTAACTTCAGATTGATTAGTTCAGTCACGCCACGGGGATGGCCCCCGTCCGCTCCCCCCCTATTCTTTCCTGCACACCGTGCTCTACCAGCCAACTCCAACAGCAATAGATCTTCGTGATGAGTCGTACGTTCTTCCAACTGTGTAGTTTCACCGCATTTTTTCATGCCGCGGCTTCGCAGGCGTATGCGCTCGGGTCTGACCCTGATGAGGACAGCGACCTCAACGATGACGTTTTCGACTGGAACGGGGCGTTTCAGGTAACACCTGGCTGGTAACTGACGAGAACTCGCTCTCAAGACGTTTCGTGGAACGCACAGCGCCTATCTGGCTGGGTTTAATAGCCCGCTCTTTCATGTACTATCGTGGGCCGGTAGATTTTGTGCTCTACTCCCGATGGACGACACGCTGCCGGTCGTCAATTCTCGAAAGTGGCTCCGGCCAAATGGAAAGATACCGATGATAGGCTCATCTCGTCTTGGTTCACAGCCTGGACTCACTGTCGCCATAAACATGGTACATGTTTGAAGGGGTTTAGTCCAACGGGCTACTGTTTGTTTTCCGTCTTGGATGTTTATGTTCTGTTTTATTTTATCAGGACGCCATGGAGGAAGTCACGGACGATTTCGATGCTGTCGACGTATACTACATTACCAGCCGGTCTATCGACGATGCCCTCGAGGAGTCCGTAACCGGCGAAATCTTTCTCTTCATCACCACCTGTGAGAGAGTCACCAAGGTTTTACAAATGTCGTTGTAAATGCGACTCAGACATGATGCAGCTGAGTTTCTCCGCCGACGTCATTCGCTTCCAGTAATTTTTCAGGCGAGATGGCTACAGATATTCCGTCGGCATTGCAATCAATATTTCGTGTGGGATATCCTCAGGCGTGTCATTCAAAAGCTTTGTTGACCAGTCGCTACATGTGTAGCGGGTGGATCGTCACCGTAATCCTCGTCGTCGTTGTTGTGGTGTTGCTTAACATCTCTCCTCTCTATGCGTTGCGTTGCAGACGTTCTCATGGTCGTGTTCGTGTCGGTAGCGATCGGCCGGTGCTGCACTGGACCCGTCAAGCAACGTAGCTGGTTGGGAGTTGGCGGCGTCATGCTCGTCATTGCCGCAGGCTTGGCCGCCTACGGGCTCAACAGCGGCTTCGGTGAGTAAGTGCCCACCATCAAAAGCTTGTTGGCAATTTGCTGCCTCTGGACGAAGTCGGTTGGACCAAGTGGTCTCCCAAAATAAGCGCCCAGTCGTTTGTACTTGCATGTGCTCTTGTTCTTGACTCCTCCCAGACCCTCCTGACCCATCCCTGTGCTCCTCCTTTGGTCCGCCTGTCTACTTTGTGCTTGCCTGCCTCTCTTTACGTGTATGGCCGTACCTTCTTCCACGGGGCGACGACGACGACGACGCCTCCGTCGCAGACATCCCCTTCACGTCGCTGTCGCAAATCCTGCCTTTCATCCTCGTCGGCATCGGCGTGGACGACATGGTAAGTGCAGGCAGGTGGCCGGATTGGCCCTAATTCTGTGGAAGGAGGGAGAACTGCTCATGTGTGCTTCGGTTTTTACTGTAGCAATCCTATACCCTCTATTTTTCTTGTTGTCAGAGGCTTGTCATTCTACCGATGTTGGCGGTGTCACGGGTAGCGTAGCCATCGGTGTCCCCTCATGCCCTGCATCCTCGCTGTGTCACCGTGCTTAACTGGAACCCAAGTTGGTCTCTCACCTTCACGGTACTTGCTATTGGTGCCTGTTGTCGCTCTTGCACCTACTTCCACCACTGTCCCCTTCTCCCTCATTGTTTCCGATCTTGTTCGTCTTTCTGTGGTTGTGTGCGTCTCTCTCTCTCTCTCTCTCTCTCTCTCTCTCTCTCTCTCTCTCTCTCTCTCTCTCTCTC